AACCCCTCTTCCGACCTAATCCCCCATTCTGGGAGTTGAAGTCCACTCATCTTAAAGTGGCCAGGTTTGGACAACACTGCTCTAGGTGGACGCGAGGCTGCTTTGGGGGCCTAACTAGGTCCACCAAGAGAAGCCAGGATCGTCCTCTGGCACTGTCCCCTTCTCCCCAACCACACCAAAGTTGGGCTGAGCCTGCAAGACTGGCAGTGCCAAGGTTTGGTCTGCCAGACCCAGCCAACACCCCGCTTGACCTCTGGCCTCTCTCGCTCCTAGTGCACGCCAAGGAGACGCCCTGGGGTCAGAGTGACAGCTCGCTAAGCAGCGAGAACCCCTACGCCACCATCAAGGACTGCCCTGGCCCCACTGGCAAGCTCCTGGAGGGCAGTTACATGGAAATGAAGTCCCCCTCCAAGCGTGAGAAGTCCTACGCGGAGATTGGGCTCTTCGAAGAGACTTCCTGCAGCCCCACGAGCAAGGAAGAGGAAGGTACTGGGGCGGGCAATATCGGCAGGGTGCCTCCACCACGCGGGGCATAACGGCGGGTGCTTCCACCACCATGCCCCCTTTCTGCAACTTCTGGCTCCAGAGAGCGGCATTCATACCTAGAAGCTTGGCTGGGTTGGGTTTCATTTATTGGCCTTTGGCCCTGGTGTTTTTGCAGAAATATAAACTCGTAACATCCCCCCAACACCATAAAATCGCAATAGAAGATAAGCTCATTGTGATCAGTTAAAAAAAAAAAACACCCATGTTTTAGGCCAATCACTCCATTTTAAAGAAATCTTGGTGGATTCAAGGGATGGTGACCCATGACATCTGCGAACAATGGATGGTTTTGAAGGGGGAAAGGTTTTCAAAGGGGAGGGGTTTAAGATGCGACGGCGGGGCTGTCCATAGGCAAAGTTGGATGTCCAACTTTTAATGGGAGGTCCACAAGCATCCTCTTGCACTTCGAGTTTGCAGTTTTCAAGGCTGATCTGCAGCCCTAACAGCTGGAACTTGCTGCTATAAAAAAGGGCAAAAGTTAGCATGACAGGAGTCTTTTCTTTTTCAAAAAAAGAAAAAAATTGGGGAGGGGGAGATGAGGTGGAGCAGCAGAACGACGGAGCTCCTTTCCCCCCTCCTGCACCCCTCCGGCTCACGATGACCTAGAGAAATTCCCCGACCCCCGTGACTTTCTCGATGCTGAGATACCCCAAATTGCAGCACGCCTGTTATCTGTTTCTTCACACAAGCTGGACTTGGAAACTGCCCTGAGTCACAGCGGGGTTTGTGGGGGCTTCAGGTTCAGCCCCCACAAATGCGTAAACCCTGTTTTGGGGCTTGGGAAACTTGGTCTTAGGGATTCATGTGAAATGTGGACTAGACGTGGCTGTGGTTCAATCCATGAACCGTAGATAGGTGGAACTCAAGCAGCGCTGGGTCGGGGGGTTGAAGTGCCTGGAGGTGGAAGGAGGGACGGTTTGTGGGCATCATCTCTCCTTTGCCCTCATCCTCTTTTCTCCTCTCCCCCCCCAGCGAATGCTTTGGCCGCAGAAGGCGCCTTGCAAGCGGCTCCAGCCATCCCCCCCAACCACTACGATTCTCCCAAAAACAGCCACATCCCCAGCCACTACGACGTGCCTCCGGTCCGGCACTACCCGCCGTCGCCTCCACTCCGAAGGCAAGCCCGGTGAGGCCTCTGCCTGCTCGCCGCTGCCTGCTCCGGGCGATCTCCGCAGGGAAGGACTGTGAGCCAGGATGGCTGGTGCATCAGCAATGGACCGTGGGACGGCCTCCACGAAGAGGCAGCGGACGTGGCTCGGCGAGACAGGCCCACTTGGGGTGTCGGGGGGCTTCGCTCCAGCCCGGCTTCCAAGGGAGGGGTGAGCAAGCCCTGGCCTCGCCTCCGGGCCTCGGTCCCTCCCCATCCCACCTCTCCCGCTGCAGAGAGGAAGCACCGGCCAAGTTCCGGAAAAAGCTGCAAGTGGCGGGGTTGGGTATCCCAGGAAGACCGTCCCCCGTCAGAGATCTCCTTGGGGCCTGCGTGTTCCTTCTGCCAAAGGGGAACGGCTGGATTTGGGGCTGGGGAGTTGCTTTGGGAACCATTCCCCGAGGTCGGTCCACGGGGCTCTCGGACTTCGCCATTGGCATTCAGAGGCTTGAGCAGGCTCTCTCCCTCCACCCTCTTATGGCACCACCGTGGCCACTGAGCGTGTCTCTAGAGCAGTGTTTCTCAGCTTGGCCGCTTGAAGATGGGGGGACTTCAACTCCCAGAATTCCCCATGCTGGCTGGGGAATCCTGGGAGTTGTAGTCCACCCATCTTCAGGGTGGCACTGACTCGACGTGCAAGATTGAGAAACACTGCTCTAGAGCCTTTGTGCCACGTGAGAAAAGTTCTCAGGTTTGGACTGGACTGCTGGGCGCGGTTTCGAAGCCTGCATTAGGAAGGGGTGCCCGAAGAGGGAAGTTTCCAAAGGGGAGGGGCCGCAGCCTGCCCCTCCTGCCCTCCCTGGCCTGAGCTACAGTTCCCAGAAGCCACAACCGGACCCCGACACTGGAATTCAGCCCCAGCTGGAACGGCTCCGTCTCCCTGGCCTAACTGTGGCCCCCACCACTCGTCCAATTCTTGATGGGTTTGCTCACTTCCAACTCCCCTTTCTGACTACAGAAAACCAGTTTGGGGGCAGAATTAAGTGAGGAGGGGTCCCTGTCCCTTCGCCGGCCGAAGAGAACATCCGGGAACCGGGTCCAGCAGAGCGGATGGAAGGAAGCACCGGGGCGCCTTCTGCTGTTCTGGGTCCCTCCAACAGCTGAATAAAAACATTTGGGTGGTTGCATTTCTCCTCTGTGTCGATTCTGGAAACAGCCCCCCCTTGCCCCCCCAGCTGGAGCTGCGGCAGAGCCTCGCAGCCTGGCGAGGGAAGAAGAGCAAGCCCGGCTGGCTGCTGGCCCTGAGATAATGCTGCACACGACCCAGGCCAGGCAGGTCGCGTGCCCAGATGCCAGTCAGACTCTGCCCGCACAGAGAGGCGCCCCTGCTCCTGTCTTTCAAAAACGAGTGATAAAGCAGTTCCTCTGCAAAGTCTCCCCACTCTCACTTGCTTTCAGGGAGTCCTTCGCCACTGGGCCAGCAATCTGGGACACAGCCCCCGACCGGCAGGGTGTCTGGCCCTCCTTGCTGCCCGGCTGGCCGAGCCTCAGAGGCGTGGCTTCCTGCTGGAAGGGCAACAGTTTGTGGGCTGGCCAGGGCCGAGAACGAGCCGGGGGCTGCTGCCACGGGGGGCCAGGGCTGGGGCCGCCGGCTTCGGCTCTTCCTCCTCCTCCTCCAGCAGCTTGTCCGTCTCGGTGTCCAGAGCGCCTCCCGAGCTGCTGTGCTTGTTCTCCAGGCTGAAGAAGAAGGCGTGAGCACGGAAGCTGCCGCTCATGTCGTCTTTGATGCTCTCCAGGATCTGGACAAAGGACGGGCGCAGACGCGGGTTTTGCTGCCAGCACCAAGTCATCAGGTCGTGCCTGGGAAGGGGGAGAAGAGGAGCCGCTAGGCAGGGAAGGAGGCCATGTGGGGCCGGGCTCCCACCTTCGCAGGCAGCTCACTGTTCAGCCAGGGACATGGGAGGCCAGGTCAGCAGTGTGTGGGACTCTCTCTCCAGGAAGGGGGGGGGCAGCCCCATCAATAAATTGGGCAGAAAGTGACTGTTGCTCTGCTAAGAAGCAACCACTTGCTGTCTTTGGCTGAGCTGGTAAAGCTAAGTAGTTTTGGGGCCAGGGAGCCGTTGGATGGGAGACCACCAGAGTCAGACGGGAAGCTAGAAAAACGTCCTGCTAGAAGGCAAGCAAACTATCTCAACATGCTCAGGAAGTTGCTGGGCTTCACTCAGGGAGACCACAGAAACAATTCCACCCTCTCTCTGAAGAGCTGGGGGAGAGGGAGGGGAAGGGTGGCTGAAGCATTGCCCAGCACTAGCCTTCCCACAAGCCACCCGCGGCCACTCACAGCTTGTCGGGACAGTTCTCGGGCTTCTCCAGGACCCCGTTGTCCATCACAAAGTGGAGCACCTGCTCGTTGGACATGCCCTGGTATGGCTGCTCCGCCAGGGTGGCGATTTCCCACAGCACCACACCAAAGGACCTGCAACAGGGTGGCCTGAGAAGAAGCACCTGGCCGGAGGGCCCTTCCACACCGGCGGCCCTGGGCCCCCACAGCCACCCTTCCCCACCTGGGTTTCTCTTCTCCAGCTGGATTATGCCGGCCCTGCATAGGGCCTCCTTCCGAGGCCGAGCCCTTCACCCCCAGCCAAGGGCACAGCCTGCCATTTGGGCTACAAAATACCCCGGCAGCATCTCTATGCCATGCGTGACTACGCAGGCTTAAAAAAGCCAAGCCACTGCGTCCCGCCCCTCTGGCCCCCACGGGCTCACCAGATGTCCGACTGAGTATTGAAGATCCCATCCTTCAGGGCTTGCGGAGACATCCAACGGACCGGCAACAAGCCTTTTCCCCCTTTGCGGTAATAGTCCGTCTCGTAGATGTCCCTCGTCATCCCAAAATCTTTGGGGAGCAAGAAAATCATTGAGGGGGACTAAACACGCACAGAGCTGTTCCTGTGCCCACTGAGGGGCAGAGGTGGAGAGAAGAGGCTGGCCCCCTTTGATCCCAGCTTCTCCAAGTGCCCAAGCCAGCCCAGGCTGTTGTGGGGAGCCACTGTCCTCCCCCAAACCTGCCCAGCCCCAGCCCCAGCCCCAGCCCCACCTCCAATCTTCACTGTGAAGTCCTCGGACACCATGCAGTTGCGGGCTGCAAGGTCCCGGTGGACGAACTTCTTGGCATTGAGGTAGGCCATGCCATCGGCAATCTCCCCAGCCATCTGGATCATGTCCTTCAGCGAAGGGGGAGGCAAACCGGGGCTATTCTATGAGGAGAGGTAACAAGGTAGTCAGTGCAATCTTGGGGGGATCCTCGGGGAGCACGGTGTGGAGGCTGTGGCAAGGGTGGCCAGGCACCACACAGCCTCTTCCCTGGGGGAGCTGGACCAGACGGATGGCAGCCTGGCACCCCATGTGACTTCTACGATGGGAGGTGGGAGTTTGGCAGGGAGTGGGGGGTCGCTAGGAAAGCTTATCAACTCAAGGGCCCAGAGCAACTCCATTTTTCGCTGTTAGAAAGAGACGGTCAGTTGAAGCCAGACTCAAAAAGGAAGTGTGACAAGGAAGATCAGGTTTCCAGTCCTGCCTTTCTCTTGGTATCGCTTTGAAACCGATGCCAAATTTTAGGAGCCTTTTGCTGGGCTCCAGACAGTTCAGTCCAGGTTGCTTTGCCTGCAACCTGAGCCTTAACGGGTGGGGAAAGACCCACCTCGGCTTCCGGCCTGAGCGAGCGGAGGTAGCTCTTCAAGTCCCCCCTCGTCATCAGCTCCATGATGACCACAGCCGGCTGGCCTTGGGACACCACCCCGAGGAGACGGACCTGGGGCCCGAAAGACAAAGGAGAGCACTTGGCAGGCCTTTCAGGCTCCCTGAGGCGCACAACCCCAGCGGCTCACGAAAAGGCGAGTGCGACGCCAGGATGGGGGAATCCCCAGGAAACCTCTGGACCGGGAAGTTAAAAATCCACCCTGGGAAAGACACGATCCCCCTTTCCGGATGATTGGTGAGGTGAGCATGTCCGCAAAGTCCAGAGTCGAGGGTGCACTGAACATGTCTCCACCTTCCTTTGGATGCGTGCACCCTGACCTGCATCACAGGCCGATGGACGCAGAAAAGCGGGCAGCCCAAGGGGAGCTCAGCTGGGCCTTTCCTGGCCCCCGACTCCCGGGCACTGCTCTGGGCGCTGCTCCCTTACCACGTGGTGGCAGCGAAAGGCTTTCATGACAGAGGCCTCGTTCAGGAACTCGATTCGCTCCCGCATGGAGGCCAGCTCATTGACGGTCTTCAGCGCCACCCGGGTCTCCTGGCCCTCCTGCTCCAAGTCCTTGGCGATCCCCTCGTAGACCATCCCGAAGGACCCCTGGCCCAGCTCTCGCAGGATCGTGATCCGTTCCCGGGGCACCTCCCACTCATCGGGGACGTACACTGAGAACGGGAAACCGCAGGGGAAAAGGCAGAGGCGTTTGCCAACGTCCCGCTCAGAAGATCCCGGAGTCGCTTGCACGGCCTCCCCAGCGGCCCCACGTAGCCCCCAACCGTCATGCTGGCTGGACCTCGCTCCCCACCTCTGCCTTGGCACTCACTGTTGGAGGCGCTGAAGTACTCGGGGTTGACGGAGGCGTACAGCGTGCCGCTGGGGTACCCTTCGGCGCTCCTGGAAG